GGCTTATAGGAACCTAACCTTGTATTTCCCCTTGGAGCAATGATTCAATATTTTCTATTTGCAACGACTTTATAGACTATAACTACCATAAATAACAAGAATCACCTGTTCATGTACCCTACTGTAATAGGTTAAAACACATGGCTACAATATCTACAGCTCCTCCCATCAAGAGACTATTGCCCTATACTTTGAATCTGGGATGGCCTTGTTACTAGCCTTGACCAAAAGAACGTGGCAGGAGTGCTGTGCAGTTCTGGAGCCTGGGTTGGAGATCTTGCAGCTTTTGCCTTTGTCCTCATGGACCACTGTCCTGAGACTATGGTGTAAAGAAGTCAGCTGAGTCTACTGAGGCTGAGAAGCCACGTGAGGAACTGAGGCCCCCAGCCAACAGCCAGGACCAAAGCTAGACACACGTGTGAGGACATCGAGGACTTTTCAGCCCTGCTGATCCACCTAAGTATAGCTGTATAAGGAAACTCAGGCAAAACCAGCAAAGAAGTTGTCCATCCCACCCACAGAATCACAAAAATAACAAAGCATTATTGGAAATAAGTTTGGGGTGGTTTTTGTTGTTTGTTTTTGTTTTTACAGGCGCCAACATCTGATACACCTGCCTGCTCAGAGTTCGGTGTGGCCCTGGGTCTCGGTTTTGCAAATTAAGTATGACAATGTCACCTCCAGGTGGGAGCGTTTGTTCTTCCTTGCTTTTTCTCTGCTGTGGCAATTAGGAAAATGTGTGTTGGTAAGGAAGCGCCTTAACATCGAATGGAATGCTGAGTCAGCATGTGAAGACAGTTGATCTGGATAATCGCTCAGACCTCAGAAGTGGTCTGCACCATGAATAAACTTCTGTTGCATAAATCCTACGGTGGAAGGGCTGTTTGTTACTATAGCGTATCTAGCTTATCCTGACCAGTTGGCATAGCAGGACTGGAGATTTAAACAGACTTTTGCCATGCAAGGTATTTTTCCCACCTACCCAAGAATTTCTAGACCCATTTAGAAAAAGGAATTTCAGCTGATAAGTCAACACAAAGCTGGCACTAATTACAGGTACTAATCAGTCTCTTTGAATCCATTCATTCCATATACAGATGGTGTCCCTACCGATTAATTGCACAGAAGACGTTGGTGTGAATCTAACAGTCGTTCGGAGAACAAAGAAGTGATCCTGAACCAGGTCAGTAGGTACAGCGTGCAGAGGAGAACAGAAAACTGGGCAGCTGACCTTGCTGTCTTTGCTGAGCTGTGTCCCACTGTCATAGTCAAGTTCACCTTACAGCTCAACTAGCTTGCAACAATTTTCTCATGTGTCAAGTAAAATGAGAAGTAAAATGTGCCCTGAAATCTAAATGGCTGATAAAACAATGGTCCTTAAAAATAGATGTATTGTCATTTAAGACCTAGTCACCTTCCCTTTCTGTGATATGTTAGTATACCACACATGCATATATGTGCATATGGATAAATATTTGCATCTTTATTTTTAAAAAATACACACCAAAACCTCTATTTATTGCTATAGGTGGGGCCCTGCATGGAGGCAGACACTAGTTAAAGTTTGCAAATTGTAGCACTGTTGTGGTCTGAATGTTTGTGTGCCTCCGAAATTCATACGTGGAATCCTAAAGCCCAGTGTGCCGGTATTGGAAGGTGGAGCCTTTGGGAAGTGATGAGGTCAGGTCAGAGGCCTCGTAATAGGATTAGTGCCCTTTTAATAAAAGAGGCCCCAGAGAGATAACCTAGCCCCTTGTGCCGTGTGAGGGCACAACGAGAAGTCTGACCTGGGGACAGCTCAGTGGTAGAGCGCATGCTTAGTAAGCTCAAGGCCCTGCATTCAATCCCCAGTGCCTCCATTTAAAAAAAAAAAAAAGAAAGTCTGACCTGGAAGATGGCCCTCACCTGTCCGTGCCAGCACCCTGATCTCAGGCTTCCAGCCCTTAAATTTCTGTTGTTTCCATGCCGCCCGGCCTCTGGCATTTCACTATAGCAGCTGAATGGACTGAGACAAGCACCTGGTGGACTTGTGCGCAAAACACCCTGAGCGTAGCAGGGTGGGGCTGCATTAACAAGCAAGAAGGAGCCTCACTGCCGAGAAAGTAGACGTGGGCTTGTATCTGCCTATCACACATAGAGATAGAAGATGGATTTGCATGACAGGACAGGGCCAAGGACATTAAATAGTGCTTAACAAACTCTGGAAACATGCGGACTAACAGTGAACGCCATGAGTCCACGCTGCTGTCAGTATTGTTGGCCGCTTGGGTCTGCTGTCAATCAGCACTAGAATTTACACCACCGGCAGGGCCAGGTATTTCTGAGTTCCCTGATAACTTGTTTCACCAAGTGGTAATGACTCACTGCCGCTTCTGAAGAACAGTAAGAGCTCCTTCGTATGGCTACAGCCCTGGCCTCCATACTAGTGTAACTCATCTTCCAGAACTGCTTGGCCCACAGTTTCCACTGATTCTGGCCAGAGCCATCGTCCTTCCCCAGCTGCCGCCTCTCCTTCAGTTCTGGATGTTGTGAGCCAAAGTTTGGGACACCAGCAAGGATTCAGCTTGAGCCAAACCAGAGGAAATGGATTTGAATTTGAATTAAAAGAGGAATGATTTGAACAGACATAGAAGAAGAATTCTTGATAAACACTTCTCTCTCGATTTGGAAACAGATGCCCTGATGAGTTAGGCCAGCCACAGACCCCCCGCTTCTGCGATGAAATCCTCTGTGTGTGACCTGCACGTGGCTAAGCGCAGTCGAGCTGCCTCTGCTTCCCCTCATGCCCACCCAGTCCCATCCCACTGCTGCCACCCCACCTCCCACCCCACCTCCCTTAACTCCAAAAGCTCCAACCAGTAATGAGTGTCTGACTGAAGCTCTCACGGGGAACAAAGGAAGGTGCACGCACATCACATAGCCACATTCCATCCACTTTAGTATCTCTGCTCTTCCTCTGAAGCTCCTCCGCCAACCTTTTTCTGCCTCTCCAGCCCCTGTTCACCCTACTCCCACCCCTCAGCTCCCCTCTCAGAATCCCATCACCTTGCATAGCCCCCTGAGAAAAACAGAACCCAACAGAATGACATTCTGCACAATAAGAGAACTGTCGGTCTCCAGTCTGGCCATCATGCCTCTGGGGGTGGAGGATAAGGCTCAGTATCCCCACCAGGAGAAGAGCCCCCAAGGCCTCCCCTGAGCTCAAGGCAGGAGGCTGGCCGTGTGGTCTTGGGTCGTTCCCTCCCGGCTGCGTGGTTCTGCGACTTACTTGGTGAGTCAAAGCAGTTGTGTTACCAAGAGCACACGCCCCTGCCAGGAGCCGGCCACTTTCCCCGGAGACAGAAGTACTTGTGAAAGTCAAGAATAAAGGGGGAAAGGACAGGTGGAAGTGACGCAGCAGTGTTGCACAGAAAATACTTAGAGGACACAGTTTCTCATTTGCTCTGGTCTCAGACTGGCTGTTTCGGGTCTTGGTCAAATCACTCAGTGTTTTGGAACCTCTGCTTCCTCTACTGTAAAAATGGAGACGCCCTTCCTACCTCATAGGGGTTATTGGGAGGCTAAAATGAAACCATACATAGGAAAGGGTGTTGAGGGGGGAAAAAAAAAGGCTTAGCAGTGAAGCAAACAAGCCACCTGCATTTCTTCCCAGCCTGAAGAGTGACTGCAGGATACAGTCAGACCAGCTTTTCCCATGCAAGCTGTTATGGCTCCTGACATGTTGCTACTTGTGCAGGGCTTACTCATTGTTTCAAAAGAAAGCTCCTTTTATTGTGAAATTGTGAAATCATTGCCCTTGCAAATCATTACAGCTTAAAAGAGTGAGAACCCTGATGCGAACGTCAGAATTCTCCCTAATAGAATGCCAAAGAGAGGTTATTCCAAGGGACAGATGACCTTGAAGGAGCAAATGGGGTTGGGGCCAGCACTGGAGAGATTCTTGCTAGAAACACAGCTGGAACCAAGCCCAAGAAGGCCTGAGAAAGAAGCCAGAATGTCTCAAGAGGGACGGTGGGTGGGGCTGCAGGAAGAGAGGGGAGTACTAACAAGAGCCTTAGAGAGCACACCAAAGTATTCAAAGTGCTTGTGCATCTGCTATTTCACTGACTTCGCAAAAGGACCTTCCATTGTATGTATTACGTTGACTCTCATGAAATTGCGGTACCAGCTCAGAGAGGTCAAGTGACTTTCACGACGTCACACAGTAAGGAGTCGAGCATGGCAGAGCAATGAGATGGGGTAATTTGGGAAGTGAAGACATTTGAAATTTTTCCCCCACAACTTCTCCAGGACTTTCCTTTTCCCTGTCATATGCTGATAAAGACAGATGCCAGTCTCAAGAAAGAAGCTGTAAATGGCATTTGGAGGTCTAGCAGGGACAGAGTTTCAGTGAAAAGGCAAACAAACAACAATAACAAACAAACAAACCCGCCTTTTTATTTTATCCCTAACTCCTTGTTTATCGCTGAATCAAATCCAGTTTATGAGTCTGCCCAGCCCCACCTGTCCTCTGGCTTCAGCAGCTGCTCTTAACAACCCTGGGTGAATGTGGGGCTCTGTATGCTTTTTATGGATCTGATGCCAGGCCCAATGTGAACGAATGAAATGTGGAGCCCAGGGTCCAGCTTCCCAGTGACTGCCTGGAGGAGGCAGGTAGTGTGGTCAGAACTGTGGGGGAATTAACATGCCATGGAGAGAATTTGACCAGAGAAAGACGGGATCCAGGAGATAAAGTCCTTTTTCTTCCTCTCCTCCCCTGAAGTGTGGTGGATCCCCTTGGCCTGCCTGGAAGACATCCTGTGTGACCAAGCTGAAGGCTGCATCTTCTTGTGACACTGCAGCTGGCTTTTCATGCCCCACCTGGCCCGTCCTGCCTTCCTTCCTGGCCTCACCTTCCTTTCCCCTCACTCTTGCTGCAGGACCTCCCAATTAAGCGCCAACATACAAACTCTCTAGGGAGTTAAGACAGTCCCTCTCTGACCCCCATCCCTGTTTCCTACCTGTGAGTCCATAATCCCCACGAGGTCTCGACTGCAGGCCCAGGGCCCCGTCCCCGGGTGAAGCCTCGCTCCAGGGAGAGGACCAGCAGCATTTACAGGGCTGCCATTCTGGGTGGAGCCCTAAACCAGGTGCCTGGGATGAGCACAAAGGCAGCAGGAGGCAAATTTCCCAGGTGAGTTTTTCCTGGTAAAATGGTTTTCTCAGGCCCACGGGGACCACCCACAAAGATACGGCCTTTGTTAATACAAAAGGGACAAGGCTAAGAGCCAATTAGAATCTCTAAATCTAGGGAGCCATTTATATCCAGGAATGAGCCACGTCTGTCAAATGACATTAAGGCTCCCACTGCTTGATAGCAAACGAAGAAGAAAAATAACCTTCACACTTGTATGCGACAATCCATTGTGCTCATTAAAAAAAAAAAGCCCCAGGGTTACAACGCCCAAGGAGTCGAGGCATTTTTTAAATCCCCCAGAAGAGGAAGGTTCTGGAAACGTCAGGTGCGGCTGTTATCATTGAGTTTGGGAAGCGAAAGACAGCCCTTTGGGATCAGCCATGGTTTCCACTCTCCGCCCCCGTCCAGGAATCTGTCACACTTGGCATTTGGTAACTTTATCAGGCAGGGCCATGGAGAGGCCTTGTTTGAGGCCAGGGCACAGCTGTAACCTGAGCATCCCACAGAGCGGCCCTGGCTTGTCCCCAGAGGGAAAGCTGCTGTCGGGGGAGCAGAGCCAGCTGGAGCCGGACGGAGGAGACTCAGCCCAGGCCCCCTCCCTGCGTGTGTGAGCGCCCCACATCCTGCTGGAAAGGGGGTGCTGGCCGGGACACAGGTGGGAGAGTGCCCGGCCCCTCCCACCCGTCTTCCTCTGCCCCTGGAGTCGGTCTCCTCCCCTTCCTCTCTCTGGCGGTGCCTTTGCCTGGTCGCCCCGGCATCTCTCACACATGATGCAGGCTCCACACTGACCTCCTGACCTCCAGCTTCGCCTCCCTCTCATCCAGGTCCAACATCAATGCATCAGAATCGTGAGGGTGGAGGTGAGGGCGGGACAGGTGCAGGAGTTTAAAATGCAGCTTCTCAAGCCCCTCCCTGGCCTAGTGAATGACGTTATCCAGGCAGGGCCCAGGAGTCTGTATTTTTAACAAGTGTTCCAGGAGATTCTGCTGCAGGCTAAATCACCCTGTCCTTGGCTGCCAGTCTAATCTTATTTAAACACAGATTTGGTCATTGCACCTGCTTGGTTTAGGCACTGGGGTCGGGGATGGAAGAAGGTAGGTGTGTCTAGAAATGCCAGGTGAATTGGTGGGATCAGCCCACCTACAGTCTCCTTACCTGAGGGAGCGAGATGCTGCCCAGCCTGGGAAAGAACTCATCCTAAGAGAGGAGGCAAGACAACCTTGACTATGTGAGGACTGTAAGCCTCAGAGAAGGTTGAGGAAAGGTTGGTGTTTGGCACCAAATTGATACCTAGCTGTGAACTACGGACTGGCACCTAAGGAGAGGGGGAGCTGGAAGTAAAAGCTGGAAATACCATTGCACTAAACTTTATAACACATGTACATGCACACGCACATGCACACGCACACGCACACACACACAGCATGGTCATACTTTATTGAGGCCCCTTTAGAAGGGCATTTCTCCCACTTCACCCCAGGGTGATCCTAGCCCTGTGAGGACTCCCTGCGTTGGTAGTGAGTGCTGGCTGGAGAATGTGGAGACGGCTTGAATGGGCAGCAATGCCTGCAAAGAGACGCCAGACCTCCTGCTTTAAAATGAAGGTTCTTTCCCCTTCTCTCCTCAATGTCTAACCTCTACTTATTGAGGTTTTTTTTAATTAAAGTATAGTTGATTTACAGTGTTGTTTTGGTTTCTGGTGTACAGCAAAAATAATTATACATACATATATTCTTTTTCAGATTCTTTTCCCTTATAGGTTATTGCAAGGTATGGAGTATAGTTCCCTGTGCTCTGCAGTAGGACCTTGCTGTCTCTCTAGTCTATATATAGCAGTACCTACCATTTTAAATTCATCATCCTCTTCCCCAGACAAGCACCCTGACTTCTAGTCATTCTAAACTTACCCTCCACCCGCTGCGTGGAGTTAAGCTGCAACTTCTTTGGTAGGTCAGACAAGTGGTGATTGAGGAAGCTAAACTCTTATCCAAAAAACTGAGAGCTGGGGGTTAATTTAAGGCAAGAGAGAAGCTACAAAAACCTGTGTAAATATTTAGCATTCACACATTAAAGTAACGGGGGCATCACACAGAGTAAAGACAATAGATGTGATATTTTGCTCATTTTTTATTAGTTTCCATTAGAATTTGTAGAAAAATGTCAGGATCTTCTTTCCCTGTATTTTCAAGGAAATCCTTGTGAATTAATTTTGCTTTACCTCCTATGCTATACACACTAAGGCACTGCCTTGTTTTGTTTCTTTGTTTAAAAAACATTCTGATTTTTTAAAACTCAGAATTGCCAGCTGTTAGCTGTGGGACTGTTCATAGGTCCCCCAGCGGCAGTGTCACCTGGGGAATTGAGTAACTTGGATATTTGGACCAAAACCACGCAGTTGTCCCCTTGCCAGGGTCGCAGAGTCCTCTCTGCTTGAGATCTTTGGGCCAGAGCTCATGCGTCTCTTGGATCCCACCCACAATCAAGGCCAAGGTCGATCTCCCCCTCTTTTTTTCCCTCCACTCCTCGCTGGCCATCTGCTTTCTGTCTCTAACCTCCATGTGTTTGTTAGAACGCCTTCAGCTAACAGCTCTGGAATCAGAGGAAGAGCTGCAGGAAGCCTGACGGCCCTGGGACCTCAGGGCAGGCAGCTGCGGCCTTGATGCTGCCCCGCCCCCTTTCTCTGGCTCCTCCACGTGGCAGAGGTTGTAGCTCAGTACCAAAGAGAGGAGGGCGTCTGCCCTTCTAACTTCCACAGAAACATCAGGCCCCCAGCGGGGCACAGACCCGCTCCTGCATTCACCGCAGAAGGAAGAAGACAGATGCTATGATTGGTCACTGTGTTTACTCGCCTCCTTTCTCTCAGCCTCCTGTAACCCAGGCTCCATGTAGTAACCGTTGAAAAATGGAAATTGATCTTATCACTCCCCTACTTAGGATTCTCCAACCACTTCCCATTCCACTTAGAAGAGAATCCAAGTGGGGAGGGCATAGCTCAGTGGTAGAGCACGTGCTTAGCATGCATGAGGTCCTGGGTTCAATCCCCAGTACCTCCATTTAAAAAAAAGAAAGAAACCAACAAAATCAGATACGAGGTATAATTTACGTATAATAGAATCCACTCTTTTAAAAAACAGAAGAGAATCCAAGAGTTTGGCCTAGAAGACCACAAGATCTGGCCTGGGTGACTTCTCCACCCGCATCTTCCACTCTCTCCCCTTCTCCAGTTCAGCTACATTTGGTACCTTCTTGCTCATCTCTAAATACAACACACTCCTCCCTGCCCCGGGGCCCTGGTGCTTGCTCTGTCTGCAGTGCTCTCCCCTGGAGTTCCCCAGCCCACTCCTTCCCTGCTGAGATGTCACAGCCTCACGGAGACCTTCCCTAATCACCTATTTAAACAGCCCTCCTGTCCCTCCATCACACTCAATCCCCTTACCTTGCTTGATTTTCATCACAGCACAAATCGCCATCTGCATCTCCTCCCACAATTATTTATCTACTTGTTTACGACCGTCTCCTCTGACCAGAACATCAGCTTTAAAGGTCAGGGACCTGTTCTCCTTGTAAATGGGTGTGACCCCAACCCAGCCCAGCACCTGGCACATAATTAGTGCTCAAAAAACGCTTACCCTGAACCAGAGAATCCAGACCTGGAGGTGAGGAGGCTTAGGAAGGCTGGGCCGTGACAGTGACACACCCGCTCCCGGCACCTGGATGTGGGAGATCAGCAGACAGGGCTCCGACAGGTGAGCAGCGCTTCCTGGAGAAAGTGGGGGTGTTGGGTGCCCTCCTCCGCCATCTTCTCCAGTCTCCTTGTCCCCTTCCAGTTTCCATCTGATTCCCATTCTCTGCTTTTCTCAGATCCCTTCTCATTCAAACCTGCCTCCTCACGTTTTTCGTTAACGCCTATCCCATAGACTAGATGACACCAACGCTTTATTTACAGCAGAGAAAGCTGCTAGGTGTCAACCTGCCTTCTGATACACAGAGACAGTTTCCTTAGCTGGCGTCAAATTTGGAAGCATTTTCCTTTTTGGCTGTTCAGAAGCCTGGTACAGTTAGCAGTTAGATGAATTCGCCATTAAAAATCTTATAAAATGATACAACATAACTATATCGTTCCTTTGTTAAGCAGCTCTCAAACCATGTGAAATGGGAGGGTCAAAGGGAGATAAGCTGTCCCTGAGAAGTGTAGCCAGCTTTCTTCTGCGTCTGAATTCATGTCTGTCTGCAGTATGATGAACTTCACAAAATCGCCCTTCCACGGGACCAGATTCTTAATTAAATGAGCGCCAGTGCAGTTCTCAGATAAATAAAATGAGCATTTCCACATGAATTAGATATGCCAACTTGTTAATAGCCTCCCTGAGGTTTTGTTACAGAATCATCACTGTTTTTGCGATCGTTCAAGCATAACACATACCACGTTCCAATCTGGAAATGAGAATGTTCTCCCGGCAGTCAGGTTCCCGAGTGAGGACTGGAGAGTCCATAAGACAGTTTTCCCCTCATTCCTATTATAATCCATGACAATAACAATCCATGGTTAAAAAAAATACCTCATATTGTTTTACTTGAACGAAACCCACCGAATTCAGATCAGTTGGAAGATGAAGCTGGTCTGAACCTATTAAAATTAGAAAATCTACAACATTTTAAAAAAATTACTAGGCAGTAAACCTCCTAAAGGCAGAGAGCATATGGGACCTGTCTTTGTATCCCTAGTATTTAGCTGGTTAATTTGGGCAGGGCCCTTGGTCTCTTGCTACCTCAGTTTCCTCATCTGTAAAATGGCCATAATACTAGTACCCTGCACTTCTTAGGCTTGTAGTGAGGGCTAAATGCTGGGAAAGCACTCAACCAATGACCTAGCAGGTAGTAAACACCTAAAAGATATTACCTGTTGTTGTTAGACTGGATGAGGAGGAAATGCAATTTGCTGCCTTTCAGCAATTCAGGAGGCCTCCTTCAAAGAATGCATGACTCATTTACAGTTCACAATGCTCTTTAAGTGCCAACAATCATGGTGCTAAAATCCTTTAAAGAATTGATTTTTTTTTAAATTGAGGTACCATTGATTTACAACACTCTGTTGGTTTCAGGTGTACAGCAAAGTGATTCAGTTATACACACATACACACACACATACACATATATATATTCTTTTTCCAATCCTTTTCCATTTTAGGTTATTACCAGGTATTGAACATAGTTTCCTGTGCTAGACAAGTAGCTGATTACTTAATGAAACCTAACACTCCCCTTGCACTCTTGCTTGTCCTCAATTTTCTTAATAAATCTTGTCTTTTAAGTAGCATAGAAGAAAGGGTCAGTCCAGCCTGACCGTGAACACTGACCCACGCTGTGAGTTAGTGGCATCTCAAAGAGTGCAGCTGTGCTGTGTTTTAAATCCACAGAGCAACAAACAGAACTTTGCTACACATAACGCACATTTGCATTTGAGATAGAGCCTGGGTGTAGTCTCAGCTCAGCGTTGGTCTCCTTTCTTTCCTGGCCACCTCCCCTGCCTTAAACGCCCTTATTTAACATTATTTCCATCTTGGAACAGAGTCTTTGAATTCATTAAAGGGACCTGCAGTGTCCACTTCATTTTTCGTAACTTATTTCTTTAGAAAGTCCCCATAATTTTGATTGGAAGCTTAGCTAGGCGTTTCATTATTTTGGCGACTCATTTCTTAGCTCCAAATAGCTGCTAGCTATAGCAGGGTGAGAATTCAACAGAGCTTTCAGGGACTGAGCTAGACAGGACACACTCAGGGCGCCTTGAACATCCATGGGGCCTAGAAGAAGAGACCGAGAGAAGCCCACAGTCCTCATGCAGGAGACCGCCCCTCGCCCCTCCACTCCAGCCAGGCAACCTCTGCCCAGAAAGTGCCTCTATCTCATTGTTTCCTTAAGTTTCTCAGAGCAACACGAGGCTGGGAAGTCCAGTTCAAATGTAGACTTCCTGGCCCCTCGGAACTCTGCACTAGAACGCGGTGCCCCAGGGAGACGGTCCTGGTGCCCTGTCTGCAGTCCAGCCCCCCTTCCTTCCAGCAGGTCTGGCGCCA